ACAGATATAAATTACAATGGCAGCTCTAGGACAAAGTATGCAGGAGGAGAAGCATGGCAAAGCTGAGATGACTTGGATGGGAAACGAATCACAACAGTGTGCATTGCCAATGCAATGCACACTGATTAATATTTTTTCTACAAAACAAGTGAAATATTCAGTCAATAAATACTTTCTGATCCAAGAATCTAAAAGTGTGAACCGAGAAAATTACAAGATGGCAAAAAGTCCAACATTGTTGTAGTAAAAGTTATCAAATCCAGAAGGAAGTTTCTGTGACCAGCTGTTGGTCCTCTGCAGTGGTTCCAAACTTTTCAGCTTTTGAGCCACAACAAAAAGCAGCAGAGGCCTGTGCCCTCAGCTGTTGTCAGTTGATCAACATTGTTTGCACATAAAAAAACAAGAGCATAGTAACATTTTTATTACATTATTTTTGTCCATTTGAAGTACATTTATCTTAGTATTTTGTAACAGCAAAGCAAAAAAAAATGTTAGTTGTAGTGTAATTCATTCAGAAAATATTTTCAGGACCCCACTGTGGGTCCCAACCCCAACTTTGAGAACCACTGCTCTATGGGAACAAAGACAACCACATGATATAATAATTACAGTAGAGAGACTAAAGACAACAGCAGAGTGAGGAAATGTGCTCAGTTTGTGCTCCAGCAGTCTGAGTCTATAGCAGCAGAAATGAAGAATAAATCTGGAAACCCAAGTCTAACTATAGGATTTATCAAAAAGGAAAGTCTAATCTTAAAGTTTAATCTTAAAAGTAGAAACTGYAAGTTGGTTCCACAAGAGAGGAGCTTGATAACTGAAAGCTCTGCCTCCCATTCTACTTTTAGAAACTCCAGGAACCACAAGTAAACCTGCAGTCTGAGAGCGAAGTGCTCTGTTAGGAAAGTATGGAACAATAAGATGTTTAATATATGATGGAGCTTGGTTGTTAAGAGCTTTGTATGTTAGGAGTAATATTTTAAATTCTATTCTGAAAGTGGAGAGAAGCTAAAACTTGAGAAATATGATCTCTCCTTCCAACTCTCATTAAAACTATAGCAGCAGCATTTTGGATCAACTGTTGGAGAATTAAAGGATTAAAAACATAAAGATGCATTGTGTTCACTTTTGGCCACCAGGTGGCAGCAGAGGTATGTAACTGTAATGTGAAACATCAGCTGTAACACTGACATGTTCCTACAGATCCAACATCAGATCATTGGCTGAGGTTCTGATGGGCTTTGTTGGGCAGGAGTGACAGGTGAGGGGGCGTTGACCCACCCTCAGATTCATCCATCACTCTGCGTGGCACAGTGTCCGGCCCCCTCTCTGACTCCTGTGGACATGTATGTTTGTGTGGGCGGACCTCCTGTCCTGTCCTTATGGAAATGTGAAAGCAGAATGAAAATGTATTTGTTCTCAACGCACACTTCATCTGTGTTTTATGCAAAATCTACAAGAACATAAGACAATGGTAAGGATTTTAATGAAAATAAAAACTAATTACCTCTCAGCTCTATTCTGAATATGACTGAATCCCAGTGACAGAAGCTGTAACCGTTTCTTTGTAAATATTCATAGTCAGAAAGCAATTACAGAAAAACTGTTTCGGACTGAAAACTAAAATGTAGCCTGAAGCCATGCAGTCACTTTCTGGGTTCACTTCTGCTCATTTTTCAAATTATACTCTGAAAATATCTCCCATGCTTAGGCAGCCTGCAGGTATTTACTACAAAATATGGAGGAAATAAACCAGTCCTCTCTTTATTTAACTGTGTGCCTCTGGAACAGGTTTGAAAACAAACATCAGAACCACTGAGGTGACTACACACAGCCTGTTGCTGTTATTTTCATCTTTATCATCCACCACTGAAAAGTAAAATGCAGTTTGTTTTTGTTTGTTTGTCTGTAGTGTTAAAAACATTAATCAACCACAGAACTGATGTAACTAAAAATGCTTCATAGCATCCACACGACTGAGATCATTATTTTCTTCCATAGGTTTTTCAGCATCTAACTCGTTCCACAATTTCTGTGCTATTTCAACAATTCATATATCAAAACGTTCAGCTCATTTATGCCAAGGGTGAAATGACTTTTTGTATTTCAGCTATTTATACTTTTTTTTTTGTCTATTTAAGGTTGTTAGCTACGTTTTATTGCCATTTAAAATGAATAAAGTTGTTTTTAAAAGATTTTAAGGATTTTGAAAAGTTTTTAAATCTTTAAAGCACCTTACATTTTTTGTTCTGGTTTTGCTTTTTTCACTTTCTTATGCTAATTTTAGCTACTTTTTGCTAC